AATCACATATGAATGTTTCATATGAACGTGAACACGTTCACGTGAACATAGTTTAAAAAACTTCCATCGCAATAAAAGCACACTGCATCTGGATCTCCTAAATCTGTTATCCCTATTTCTGTGATGTTATCGTCAGATGATTTGTCATCTAAACTCTCGACGTCAGACTCCGATGAAGAGGATTTACGATGTGATCGTTTCATCGTTGATTTGATAATATTGACACCACTACAAGATGGTTGTGAATGGGATAGATTGAATATCACATTTCGCTTTGCCATATTCTTTGATTTGTTCGGTAAAGGAAAATTTATTGAATTATTTAGGTTTTCTTTGTATGGGGATGATGTTATAACTGCAGCTTTTCCTGGTGCTCTTCCTCTTTGAGGTCCTTTTTTCTTACTTAATGTCGGCAAAGGTGATATTTGATGAGGCTCGATAAACTTATTCCTTTTTGATTGGTCAGTAGTCCCATTTTCAACATAAATTTCGTTTAATTGGAGTGTCAGATTGCGATGCCTCTTCAGCAGCAAGAAAATCGTGGTGTTCAAAAACATTGCGATTTGTGGGATATATGCCGGTTTTCCTGAAACCATTAACGGCTATTGCCCCAGTTTGGACTTTCAAATAAGCCCTACCAAATAATTCAGAGATGTCGAAAGGTGTGACAGCACTCTGATTGATTCGAAGAAATACTCTTAATTCCTCACTATAGTGAGATTTTAAAGGCCCTATGAAAGTTTTATCCAACGGCCGCATATAATGGGTAAAATGTGGGGCAGGCACAATATCTCCACAAAATTTTGTCTTGCTAAATCGATAACTTGTAAGTTGCGACAATGCGAATGGTGCCCATCTAAAACTAGCAATATTGGATCACTTTGTGATGGTCTTGTTTTTTCTATGAAGTGCCGGAACCATTCTGTAAATATTTCCGTTTAAATCCAGCCACTCGGATGGCACACAATTTTTGATCCAGGAGGGGCTCCTTTTTGTAGCAAAATATTCATATTCTTTCTAGGATAAATAAGTAATGGTGGAACAAAGTTCCCCCTGCACTCATGCATAAAACAGCTGTGAATAGAGATCCCCTCTCGGCAGACGTTATCGAGCCAACTTGCTTAGCACCCCTCAAAGCCAGAACAGACTGTATCTTCAATTGGACGATAGACAACCCAGTCTTGTCAACGTTAAAAACTCTATCTGCAGGATATTGATGCTTCTCGAATGCTTACTCCAGAAGATCGAAGAAGTAGCTAACATTTTCCTTATTGAAACCTTTAGCCTGATGAATTGAGGTTCCGGTTGGCTTTCTTATAGAAATCGGACTTTTATGTCTTTTTAGAAATAAATCTAGCCACTTTCTGCCAACACTTTCAGTTTCTTTCGAAAATGGATTTGGTAAGTTATTAGCAGCAGCTAACTGGAAAGCCATATGTTTAACATCCCGTCTAGTTAATCCAAAGAACTTCTTTTTCATTAAAAGTAAATATTCTACCAATTTTGTTTCTAAATTTTCTGGTAAAACAGGGGGGTCTACCGAATTTCTTGTCTACAGCATCATTATGTTTAGATGCCAATCGAAATAAAGTGGTACGGGGTATTCCAAAGGTGTCTGCTGCTTTTTTATATCCAATTTCTTTGATCCTAACGGCCTGAATAGCACGTTTCATGTCATCTTTGTTCCACGACTTTCTACAGGGTTTATTACTTTTCTTCTTCTGTGGCATTTTCCTGCAACAAATAGAAATGTAATCTTCAAACCAAACTAATTACGAAACTCGATAAGTAACATAATAGATAGATATATTTGTTATATCATATTATGACAAAAAAATGTTCCGAATATGGAATATTCCATATTTAATACCCTCAAGTATTCCATATTAGGCACACTACAATGTTTGAATTTCCAACTGCAATATCATTACATGCGAAAAAGATTTTTTTTTAAGAAAACACAAGAAAACATTATAGTTTATTCGTCTTCGGGTTTGGACCGTGTCATTTGTGAGTGACCCAAAAGTGGGTTCATCTCGACGTTTCGCTACAATTGTATGTAGCTTCTTCAGGAGAACAAAAAAGAAAAAAGAAAGAAAGAAGAAAACAAAAGAACAGGAAGATGGGTAGTTAGCAACGGTAACTCAGTTACTCAACGCAACCAGAGGCGAATACTAACTACCAAGATGGGCATTTGGTCACAGTAACTCAACTACTCAACGCAGCCAGAGGTGAAAACCAAATGCCAGGACAGGGATTCACGTCCAACAGCTCAGAACACTAACGCGTCGAAAGGCGGGGAGTGAATCCGACGATTACTCCGCTACCGCTCTATTTATAGTCGCGGTGCCTGTCGTGTCGGGACGTATCGGCACACTTCGTGGCGCGAACGTCAAGAAGCGCGCGCTGGCCAATCATGTGGCTGCATCGTGGTGGCGGGACCGGACGGCGGTTCTAGACTGAGATTCCAGATGGGAGACAAGTAGTATCCTTCCTCTCGATTGATATTATGGGGATTTTTTCGGATCTCTAGAGATTCGCGGATTTTCCTGGAATAAAAGAAGGGGCTTTTAGAAATAATATGGGTTTTTTCGAACAATATGGAATGACCGGTTTCTTGGCAGTGTTCTGCAACTGCAGAATGGGAGAAAAGACCTGATCGAATGCATCTTTGATGCTCTTGAATCCGAGTTTTGACGGAACGACCAGTTTCGCCAATATACACATGTCCACATGAACAAGGAATAGAATAGACACCACAGGAAGATAGGGGCGGTAATGGGTCCTTAGGAGAGGGTAGATATTGTGAGATTCTCTTGGGTGGTCGAAAAGTAGTCCTGATACCTTCTTTGCGAAGAATTTTGCCAATCCTATCAGTGACATTTCGAATATACGGAAGAAAAGCCACAGGAGTATTACCCGAAGATTCTGAATTTGTCGTCCTAGGGTGTAAAGGGGGATGTAGATGTCGGTGTGTAATATTTTGAATTGTGGACTTGGAGTAACCGTTGGCGACAAGGGTTTTTTGCAGATGGCCAAGTTCTTCTCTAAGGTTGTCGGGTTCAGAAATCGAAATGGCCCGATGGATGAGAGAGTTGATCACAGAATTCTTTTGGGCAGGATGGTGGTGTGACGAAGCATGTAGGTAACGATTCGTGTGAGTCTTTTTTCTATAAACAGAGTGACCCAATCGGTCATTGGGCTTGGAGGTGACTAACACATCGAGAAAGGGAAGGGACCGATTGTTTTCTACTTCCATTGTGAATTTTATACTCGGATGTTGTGAGTTAAGATGATCTAGGAAGGGAGAAAGGGTATGTTGACCATGGGGCCAGATGATAAATGTATCATCAACGTAGCGGAACCAGACTTTTGGTTTTAAGGGGTAAGATTCTAGGGCTAAAGACTCAAAGGCTTCCATGAAAATGTCAGCAATGACAGGGGAAAGGGGAGAACCCATTGGTGTTCCAGATATTTGTTTGTAGAAATTGCCTCTAAAAGAAAAATATGTTGAAAGGAGGCATTTTTCCGCAAGATCTGCCAAAACCAAAGACTTGTTATCATTGGTCAAGTGATCTCGCAGAACAACTAGAGAGTCATGTATGGGGATATTGGTAAATAGGGATGATACATCGAAACTGACGAGAATGTCTTGGGGATCGACTGTGAGAGAGGAGATTAAGGTGATGAAATGTGTGGAATTTCGGACATAAGAAGAGGTACGACCAGTATAGGTCTTAAACTGATTCGACAAGTACTTTGCGAGTTTGTAGGTAGGAGAGTTAATCGTAGTCACAATGGGACGAAGAGGTACGTTATCTTTATGGATTTTGGGAAGACCATACATTCTGGGGCAGATGGAGTTTTTCGGAACTATGGACTTCTTAATATCATCGGAAAGATCGGATTGTTTGATGACATGGGCAATTTCATTTGACTTTGGTTCTCAAAACACATGACTTTGGTTTTGGCAGATCTTGCGGAAAAAATGCCTCCTTTCAACATATTTTTCTTTTAGAGGCAATTTCTACAAACAAATATCTGGAACACCAATGGGTTCTCCCCTTTCCCCTGTCATTGCTGACATTTTCATGGAAGCCTTTGAGTCTTTAGCCCTAGAATCTTACCCCTTAAAACCATACTAGTACCGTGTACTAGTATCGAGTATTGCCTCCTCTGACATTTATTACTGCTTGACAACGATCAGATCAGATGTAGGTCGTTTTCGGCAAGTCTTTTTCTAATCGTATTCTGGCTAATTCTAAAGTTATAACTATCCAAAAATTCGTTTTGTAGAGAAGTACTGGTAACAAACCTTTGTCTCGGTGTACGAAGTGTCAAAAACCGGTCTTGATTAGGAGTTGTAACCCTTCTACGGACTTGACCGGGTTTTCTCGAGTTACTTCCAGTAACAGAAAAACGTGCTAACACTCTTGAAATGGTTGACTGAGTAACGTTAAAACGTTCAGCCAGTTCTACTTGAGTGTATCCTTCTTCACCAAGAGTAACGATTCTAAAGCAGTAACTTTCTGATAAATTTCGATTTTCTTGCTGCTGGTGGTTTATTTCAAAGAAAAAACACTTAATAAACTTGAAAAACCCCTTTAAACGTTCAACACGCAATCCAACCCAACTAAATTCGAAATAAAATGAAGCACAATTAGCATGTTTTTAATTTTTTTGTAAAAAATGGTAAAAACATCAGCGTTTGTTACCGTTCTTTTGAATAATTTTACAATATACCGGGGGTAACAATAATATATTAGCACAAAAATCGAAACATTAAAATTATTTGATCTACTAGGGTTTTTAAAATTATGCGTTAATTTTGGCGTGCTGTGTATTTTTGTAGAGGCTTTTTAACTGTAACAGAGGTTTATACATATCTAAAAGATATGTTTTGGGATAATATTTTTACAAACACGCACGCCATACAGTTGCTTTATTACTGTTATTAAATCTTAAGTGTTTAATATTAAGTAATTACAATTAATTTTTAGCACAATCAGAATGTCCTGTAATATGGGATGCCTGGTCTTGTTTTCCACAAACTAAAGTGAATACTACAGCCAAACTACCATGTAGTAGCCAAGCATACCAATCTCCTGATGAAGTTTGTACTTGTAAGTCCAATTTAATTTGATTTTTTTTTTAATATATTCCGAGGAAAATACCGAAACAGATTAGAAATTACTGCATTAATATTTCTTTTATCGACCCTAATATGTATATAAGTTTGTGTCTATATATTCAATACTGACACAATTTTTGAAACTTATAAAAGGCTTCTGTAATGATTTTTTTGTAGTAGAAAGCGAAAAACAATGCATTTGGAACGGAACATCAGCAGAATGGATCCAACAAACGGACTACACAACGTGTGCAATAGCTCCAGTTTATGAACGAAGATACAACTTTCATATTATATTTCTAGGAGTCTGTATCGGTTTTTGTATACCGGCTATATTCATATATTTCTTTTTTGAAAAACTCAGAAAGACTATCAGAGTTATTCTGCACAGGAACCTTTTGATAGCGATTGTGGTAAGTACAAAATTAATAATAAAACAACATACAAATTTAAAAATTGTATCTTTTTATACTAGGTAGTAGAAATAAATGACAGGCTTACTTAAATCTATTTATTTAGTGTCTGTAAGATTGTGAGAAAGTGTGTTATTTATGTCTGCTATACTCCAGCAAAGAAATAATGAAATTAAGAGCACATAATGCAAAGGAATTGTTTTATTAAAAATGTAAAATGGAATATGACAAATACTCAACTGTACTGTTCTGTTAATATATTACTTTCCTCATCTATTCACTTCTTTTGTTTAAATTCATTTTTGCTTTTGTTTAGTCTCTGGTAAAGTCTTCTCGTCTCTATTGGCTTACTTAGATCTTGTAGTTCTTGAAGTTCTTTATTCATAGTTACTCTCTTCGTTCGGCGGTGGATTTTCTTTTGTTCCTTGCGTATTTATTTACATTCTTTCTCTGATTGTCGGGCTCTGTACCCCTGTTGTATTATTAAATATGCTCTATTATTTATCTCTAGTATAATCTGATATTATTCGTCGAAACAGTCATTCTTAGTTCCTAATTTTTTTATTATTTCATCCATAATCAGGTTGAACAATAGAGGACTCTGGAAATCTCCCTGTCTTATCCCATTGTCAGCTTCAATAGGGTCGGCTAGTTCTTCTTCTACTTTTATATTTATTGTGTTGTTTTGGTAGATATGTTCGATCGTTTTGATTACTCCTAAAGGTATCTTCCTTGCGTGCAGTAAGTAGATAGTTTTTTAATTTGACCCGGTCAAATGCCTTCTTAAAGTACACGAAACATAGATATTCCGGTTTGTTTTATTCTAATGATTTTTCTTGCACTTGCCTCATTATGCCTTTAAAGCAGCTTACTAGGATGGCTGAGATCTACCTAGGTGATTAAGTAGTTTCTTTATGTTAAATACTCGAAAAATGTGTTATTTAGTTAGTACCTATGAATTATTAATATTTCATTTAACTTTAGTATTGTATTTTGTCCTATAAATGGATTCTGTTGGACAATAAACGCTATTATTATTATTATTATTATTATTATTATTATAAATATAGAGTATTCCTCTGTAATTTTCAGGGTCCGATTTGTCTCCTATTTTGAAGAGTGGTATTGGGATGTTTGATCTCTTATCTTGAGGAATTCTGTTTTGTTCTATTATTTTTTGGATTTTGGATTTCAATAGTTGTTTGGTCAGATCTGGTCCTCCGTACTTTATCTTTTTTAAGAACCTCTACCAGTGTTCCCTCTTTATTTGTCTAACTAAAGTATTCATTTCATTTCTGATTCGTTTATAGTGGTTGTATGCTTGTTGTGTTTTTTATGTTCTTCATTGTAAAAAGGCTTTCATCTTTGTCTTCATTTCCTTTCTAAACCATGGTGTTTTCTTTTTTGGTATGTTAGTGTTCGTTACCTGGTTACCAGTAACGTAATGGTTCTAAACTACTGTTGTCCCGTCACCATAACCACATAAAATAATAAAGATAATATGCAAGTTGTTGCTTAAGCATTCATCGAGGCAAACAAATCTTCACATTATACGTATAGATGACCTGTTATCGTTCACGTTTATTGCACGCATTAACTAAAAGAAGACAAGTAAGCCGATACTTTTCAGCTACTTTAGGTACACGTACTAGCCTAGAGATGTTGCAAGGCTCTTGAAATCAAAAATTAGCAAAAAAAATTTTAAAAAAGTCATTGTCAAACAACACAATGTTTTCTAATATTGAAGAACAACTTTGTTTAAAACTTCAAAAATCCACATATTCTGCACTATAAGTAGACTGATACAACAAATAAGGCACAGCTACTCGATTTGACTTTCATGAAGAAGGTATAGAAAAGTCTTGCATTATTCATTCGTGTGAGTCCATTTCAAATAGATAAAAAAAGACTTATTCACAATCAATTTATTCTACTACCAACGACCGGTTTCGCATACTATAATTTGATATGCATCTTCAGGTCAACAGTACATGATAAATTAAATGATGCCAATACAGGGAATATTATTAAATGTTTGAGAAAACATAGTTTAAAAATCCGTTATGGTAATTTCTTTTAACTTCAACTTTAAACCCTACTTATCTTAATCACTCATTTGAAAAAAAGAATCTTTTGCAACAACAAAAGAGTGACTCGGCTGTTGTGTAATATTTTTATAAAAAAAATACCGAAATTATATTTTCAAGAACTACTTAGATAAACTAATACAGAATTATATTCATTTTTAAAAGTAAAAAAACCTAATTCATTTACAAGTATTAACATTATACTACATTAATAATATTCATATGTCTTCGTCAGAAGAAGACTCACAGTCACTGTCACTAGAATAGTCCCCCAGATTAATGATGATAGGAATAATTTCCGAATATTGATCAGTTTGTATTTTTCTTTCAAAATATTCATCTTCTATTCTATTTATATCATGACTGCACCGTTTTTTCCATTTTTCAATACCGATTTTATTAAATTCTTCTGCTAATTTTCTTACGTCCTCAAGTTTAAACGTGACATTCTTTTGACTGACATTATTCTTAACCGTTGCCCAAACTAATTTGATTGGGTTTAGGTCTGGGTGATACGGAGGTAACTGTAAAGAGGTGGTGCCATATTCTCGACACAACTCATCAAATGCGTATTTTACATATCGGTCCTTATGAAATTTAATGAGTTCATATAATTTTGGTTTTAAACTCGTTGAAGTAAAAGGTATATTGTTTTGTGTCAACAATTTAACCATTGGATTCTTTAAACAATTGGAATTAGGCGCTCAATTTACCTGTACATGTTGATAACTAGCAATATAACAAACTATTACTGAATTAGGTGGTATGTTGGGTATTAACTTCTCTCTTAGGTATTTCTCGTAATTTACCGAATTAATTTTGGAATGATAATCTCCAGATGTTGTCCCTGATTTAAATATCAACAAATTATTTTTAATAAATCCCATTTCTCCTCCAGAGTGAACTATTATAAGCCTATGGCCTTTGGAAATAAAAGAATATAAACCTTTTGGGGAATTGTCCGTCCAATTTTTCGAGGAAGTATATCCGCTGCGTATATATGTTTCATCTAAATAAACGATTGGTCTATTTTGCCTTCTCAAATATTTTATCTGTTTCGAATATTTTACTCTTAAAGTTCTTATTTCAACAAGAACGAGAAACAAACAATTACATCTCTATTGTACAATGGACCGCAGGAGTGTGACGTCACGACTGTCATATTGTCATTATTACTTTCCAAACAAAAGTTGAAATGTCCAATCTCAAGACTTTTTAATTCCTATAAAGTTAACATTTTGCTTCCTCTGCTGCTTTTCCTTGTAAGCATAGTGTTTTTTACGATAATACCATCATAATTCAGAATTTTATTTCTATGAAATATAGTTTAAAAGTTTAAATTAAAGAAATTCTAACCTTACTTTATTGATACATGCATTTTATTGTTATTAGCATAAAACAATATGCTTTATTATTTACACAACCTTGTAAAATTGTTGTAGTAACTATTAGAATACTTAAATATTGCAAAAAGCATAAAGATTCTATAAAATAAATGAAAAAATAACTAAAAATACAAATTATCCACACTAAACAAGGTTTGTTTGGAAAGTGAAACTGACAGATGTCAATAAAATCTACGTCATCACTCCTGTGGTCCATTGTTACTGGCAAGTAGTTACGCTACTGACAGTAAGCCAGAATAAGGTTTAAACGTAAAGTGGAAGTGTCGACTTTTAAGTTAACGAAATCCGGTTTGTTAGCTGGTTCTTCAGATTTGGCGTCCAATGTATAAGGTTGGCAACCCCTGCTCTAGAATAAAAACTGAACGTTATCATCTACTCTAGAGTGAGAATTTAACGGAGTAAAAATTTAACGTAACTCCGTTCGGGAATAACTCTCGTGTAACCTCAAACTTTCTGTCTCACGACATGGCGTAAGTACGATACGCTTTGAAATGCTAAGTAAGGGCCAAGGGGTGGTTTGGGTTTCAGGTATCACAGTGTGGGCGGGTGGTCTAATAGGCCATCGGAATTTAATTCCCGTTAAAATCCAGAACATTACTTTGAACTTCTCGTGTATTCTTATGTTTTATATGCGAACTATCTTTTTGCATTGATTTTTTTGTAATTTTCTTATAAAATGCCAAACGTTTCTTAACAGGTTAAGTGCCATGATAGGCTAACACGGACTCACACATAAAAGTTATATACGGGCCGCGTGATGCCGACGAGTTCTAGAACTCATTTAAAATACACGGGAACATTTCGAGCCGGTCAGATGGTCTAGAAAGCATACTTGGCCTGTGCTTCTGAGATATCGACGAGGACTCACATGGCCCATAATATTTATAAGTAACAATTGCGTAATTATATACTTTTTTGTTATATATCCATAGTAAGAACACATTTTAGGCAAAATAAGCTTTATTTTCATAGAACAAAACATAATAACATTATCAATTTTTTTTGCATAACATGTTGTACATCGTCTTTTGCCTGCACGACCAACATCGCTTAGTTTGTGACTATTTTCCATAATGACTGGTGTGCCAATAAAATCTCCTAATAGGCCCCGAATTCCTCATCCTTGAATTTTGTCATCTTCAGGCTTTCATTGGCAATGCTTTGATGCGCGACATAGGCATTTATAAGTGCTGTGCCAATCAAGTCCTCCATCGATAATTTGTTGTAACATTTTATGTTATATTTTACGTAATGGCGAATTATAGCTGTTCATTGGATCTGATACATCAATGAAGCTTTCATATTTATTATATTCGATGACATTCTTTGCCATGACATTTCGTTAGCTAATTTGCTACTAATCATCAGCACATCTCGCTTGTCTCTCCACTTCTGAACAACGATTCCCTAATTACTTTCTTCAGCTACATGTTGGTCTGCTTTTAATTTTTTTAAAATGACGTTTTCGGGATTATATTTGCGGTTTGCACGTAGCTTACTAATCATATAAGTTTTTTGATGTAGGAGTTTATGTGCTAATGTTACATAAGTGTAGTAGTTATCAATAGCAAGTGTTCGTCCTTTGTCAAGCAGTCCATCCATAAGTTTTATCACTGCATTTGTTGGTACGGCGCTACCTTCAGCATGTTCTTTTTTACAATAATCGTTAAAATCGTAGGTATAACCACCTTCGAAATAAACTTTGATTAATTTTATTCCAAATTTGTGCATCTTGTCTATATACTGCTTAAATTTTAGTCGGAACAGGCACTAAAGTTTCGTCAATACGCACATTTTTCTTTAAAACGATGGTAGCCTTGAATTTATCCTTCAGTCCGCTACCCAAGGAAACGATCTTTTGCAAACGGTCATTTGTTGTTACTGAATTATCGTTGAAATTCATTATTTTTCACAATAACTGGAAGCGATTGCTTGACATTCCTTTTTTGATGTTATTCACATAAAGATTATTCTTTGGCCAGTACGAATGAAAAGATGGAAAATGACATAATCCCATTCATATAACTGAACTATATCCAGGAAGACATTAAAATTTGTCAATATGGTGGCACTTAACCTGTTAATGCAGTGTTTTTATTTTCCGTATTTAAAAATGATATCAAATTAATTTGCAAACTACAAACCTAAATTTCATATTTTGTCTAATATTTAATGTATTGTTGATAAAAGATTTATGTACAAGTTAAAACATTAATCATATTCATTCATAACCACTAATTTTTTCCTGCTACCGTTTACTACATCGTTTTTCAATTATAAAAAGGAAGTATACACTAAAACGTTAATTAAAGTTTTGAATACAGCAGTGCGATTGTTGGCACAGTACAAAGTAACAATCATAAACAAACTATAATTCATGCCGTACATTTCATTGTAAAATGTATTTATAATCCGTATGCAAACAAACTTTTCCTGGTTTATACCGGTCTTATCGTACAAATCTTATTTAATCAAAGAAATGGAAACATGGTTTTTAAACATAATAAATTTACTTGGCAATTAAATAGTGCAACCGCTAAGTGAATTAGCGAAACTGGGTCTAAAATGACTTGACATGAATATCATAATTTTAATTTTAATAATTGGTAAATTTGATAATTTTCTTCAAGATTTAACTTATTTTCGACGTTGAAAGAAATATTATAGGGGTAATTGAAATATTATATATATATTATATATATATATATATATATATATATTATCCAATATTTCAATCAAAGTTTTTAACCTACAATTTTACAAAAGTTTTTAATTAATTCTAGTCAAGTCCCCTAAGTTGACCCCTAAATATCGTACGAACAAGCTGAAATTTTCCGAGAATTTTGGGACCCACAAAGACGCAAAAAGTTTACCACTTTTACTCCCGGGCTTTCATCTAAAACCATCCTTGTAGGGAAGTTCTTCTTCTTAGGGTGCCTGTCCGTTCCGTTCGTTGGCGATCATTCTGGCTATAATGATTTTATTCGTTGCTATACGAAATACCTGTGTTGGGGTCTTTCTATGCCATGCTCTCAGGTTAGCAAAACAGGATATTCTTCTTCGTCCTGGGGCTCTTTTTCCTTCAATTTTACCCTGCAAAATGCATTGGAGTAGTTCGTATCTGCCTATTGTAGGGAAGTAAAAACTCAAAAAATTCGATTTACCAATAATATGTACGCCCTAAAAATAAATCTTTCAAATAAAAAATGTAGCTGAGATAATTTTAAACAAAATTGTTTCATAATCACTTTTTGTGTAGAATGAACTGTTCTCTTACAAATAACGCTTGAAGCGACAGTTATGCACGCGAAATCAATGTACCGGTTAGACCAATACGCCGATCTCTCCGCTATATATCAGAAACTATTCATATTATAACTTTAGGAGAAAAATTACTTAGTAAAAGTGGCCAAGAGAAATCGCTGGATATAACGAAAGTTACAGAAACTTGAGTTTCTGGGTTAACCGCTAGGGAGCGTAACCTGTAAATAAAAATTTGAAAACCAGTTTTTTGTGAAATATGCCCAATTATACCAAGTGTTAAATAAGTAAACTAGAAAGAGGCCTAAATACTGCACAAAGTTGTTAAAGTACTTTTTTTATTTTTTCAAAGAAAAGGTGGGGAAAAGTGGGAAAGTATTTGTGGATAAATACCTATAACTTTGGTTTGGATCAACCGATTTTAACGAAATCAGTGTCATTAGAAAGAGTGTAAATGATTTAATTTACATCTACTATAAAACAATTGCATTTAGTTTTTATCATCACGTGTAGAGGGTACTTTCGAATAGAAAAAATTAAAATCTGTTTTAATTGCAAACATGTTTAACATGCAAACCGCATGTTAATAGTTTTTGTCGAACGTGAGATATGAATAAAACTAAAAACATAAGTAAGTATAGTACTGACTACCCTTTATTATATGTATTATATGTAATGTATAATATGTGAAAGATCATACAAATATCTCGATCAATAAAACTTAATGTCCAATTAAATGTTCTAATTATTTTCCATCGTGGTCCACACAAAGATGTAATCTTTCGCGCGTAAACATAACAACTGCTTCAATCTCAGCTGTTGATATACTATTTATTGCGTTTATAATGCACTAAGTCCTTCAATCTCCCCACAGATAAAAGTGCAGACATGTTAAGTCTGGAGATCTAGCTGGCCATAAAAATATACTTCCCCTTCAAATCCATTTATTTGGATAACTTGCATACAAATAATCTCGAACTCGTCTGGAAAAGTGCGCAGGACACCCGTCATGTTGTAATATCATATCTTCTTGTTTGTAAGGAAATATCTTCCAATAAAATAGGCAACTGATTTTCCAGAAAATCCAAATATGTTTCGCCATTTAAAGTTCTATCAAAGAAATATGGACCTACGATCTTTCCATCAACTATACCACACCAAACATTAAGACTCCATCTACCTTGAACCTGTACCTCATGTATCCAGTGCGAATTTTTTTAGATTAACACCACCCGCACTTTTAAACGTAGCCTCGTCTGTCCACAAAATCTTTGACATGATATGCGACTGTTCTAGCAGATCTAACATCAAATTGCAGTAATCCAGCCTTGCATCAAAATATCTCCCATGTAAAGCTTGGTGGAGAACTACATGATAGGGATGCAGTCTAAAAAACAGAAAAACAAATATTGGTGAAAAAGAAACCACTATATTTACTAAAACTCAAAAAATCTTGAAAAATGCACAATTGTTTTACAAGATAAATCGTGCATAAGTACTTTTAAAGAAACGGATAAAAGGATAAAGGCGCCGTGTTGCCGTTTTTATCGGAATATTAAAATAACAGTTGAATCTAAAGTTTAAAGGGAAGTCCAAGTTTCTGACCTAAACGTTCACTTTATAATATGAAAAACCAACCTATGATGTTTTAAAATCCTTAGAATAGTAGTTTTGGGCATTTTAATTCTATACAGATTTGCCGACTACTTATATGTGGATTATGTTTAATTAAAGCAAGAACATTTATTGAATTATCTTCGGTCATACTTCTACTACGTCGTTTAAAACAAGGATGATGAAAACTATCAGTTTCTCTTAATCTTCTTGCCTTTCTTTTAAATACTTCTTTGCCATAAGGTCTCATATCAGGATATCTTACAGAATATATAGGTGAGGCAATAGCGGCATTTTGGTGACATTAGAAACAAACTCCAATCATACCATACAATTCTGCATTTGATATACCCTTCACGAATTATTAGTACCGATAATTAATTACTAATATTACCAATATTAATGTCTATTGAAAAAAGTGCAATCTTCAATTCGAATTATAACACTTCTTAACAATGTTTTGACTGCTGTCAATAAATAAACAATATGAACTCCCCGTAAAATTCATTGTCGTAGCCTACTTAGCTTCGAAAAAACTATTTTTAATCATTATGACATAATAACAATGGTCAAAATAGGTATCAACATTAAGATTCTTCTGCTATAAAAAATTGAAAGTACCTACTGACTCATTTTTTAATTTAATTTATTATACAGGGTAAGCCAATACTATATACTTACTTATGTTTATGCGTTTTTATTCATATCTGGAGTTCGACAAAATCTATTAACGTGCGGTTTGCACCATTTTGGTATGAGTTTAATCCAGTTCCATTATAATTTATAAATAATAGGTGTTTCCATTAAACATTTTAAAGAAGAAACAAATTTTAATTTTTTCTATTCGAAAGTACCCTCTACCTATGACAATTAAAACTAAATGCAATTATTTTATAGTAAATGTAAATCAATTCATCCACACTCTTTTTAATGACACCTATTTCGTTAAAATCGGTTGATCCAAACCAAAGTTATAGGTATTTATTCACAAATACTTTCCCACTCTCCCCGACCCTTTATTTGAAAAACTAAAAAAAGTCCAAAACAAGGGTACTTTTAAGACCCTCAGGTACTTCAGTGTCGAAAACATGCCCGCCCGGGCCCTACGCGCCCGGGTTTTTGGGGTTTTGTGTTAGTTTTTTTTGTTGGCTTGCGCCGGTTTTTGTTAGTGTTTTTTTAATTTGCCGTTTTTTGTGTGTTTATTTTTTATTTTTTTTTTGTCGATTACCTGAAATATAAAAATCTTAAATAGTACAATGTCTATATTTTAATATTGAAAAATATATGCAAATATATAACAATATGACAATATAGAGTTTGTATACTTACAGCAACTGGGCCCACGCTATTCGTTGCGGTTGTCCACGCGTGTTTTCGAGCTGCGATGCGAACTGTCTTCTTAGTGTGCTGTTATGTTATTGTTGTATGTTTTCTCTCTGGTGTTTTGTTTTCTCTCTGGTATTAAATGGTCTTTTACAGGCGTAAAATTGAATTATAGAATAATTGGTCGTTTTCAGGTAAGGAATGTTTTGACGATTATGTGCAAAGAATTAGTCCTATTAGATGCTTTAAAATCCCCAGCCCAAAGCCATCATACAATGAATAATAATGGCGTACCATGTCGGATATTGGCATTTATGGAAACCTCAGCTATAAATAGTATATATGCTTGTATGTTTCTAGATGCTTATTATTTACACAAGGTAATAGTACGAGCGTTTGCCAAAGAAGTTAGAATGGTCCATATTTATATAGTATTAGCAGGTAAAGACAAATTATTTATAATTGATTAAGGATCTATAATAACAATTTATATTTATGTGGATTGATTCATTTTTACAAAAGTTATCCAAATAATAATGATACTTTACCCTTTCAGCTTTAACTTTCACGTTTAGCATTGTATGGGCGATAGTTATGGGCGTCAAAAATGCTCCTCATTGTTGGATGGTGGACGTAGATGGCCTCCAGTGGACCGTTGATGGTTTTAGAATAGCTGTCTTGGTCACCAACGGATTAATGTTAGCAGATATTATAAGAGTGATGATATTAAAAATAAGACACGGAAGTACTACCAAACAAACTATGTAAGCTTAAAATGTTACTTTCTTTTATTATTATTTCTATGAAAGATTACGGCCGAACTTTGATAATTTGCTAACTTTTTGCGTATGATAAAGAAAGCTGAGTAACAGGGACTGATTTTTAATTAAAAAGTGACTTGAAAACTAAAAAATAATAAACTTTATATAACCCGCAAAAACTCACTCCTATTTTGGCTAACGTGACAACTCGCATGTAATATAGACATTTTCTAACACCAACAGGCATGTATAATTTTACAATTTTTCAATCATTGTTATCGTCGATATCGTCTCCAATAGGTCCTTTCTATGGCCCTAATTTTTTATTTGTTTCGTTGATTCATTTTCCAGACTTTCTTCAATCCAATTCCATACTTTCTTAATATATTTGATCAACAAAAACCTAAATAAAAAGCACTTATAAATTGGTGCATACAAACTTACATGTGGTGACTGCCCAAACACTTACATCGGTCAAACTGGTAAAACTTTGAACAAACGTATAGCAGAACATAAAAAGGCTTTTAATAATAGAAAAAAGATTTTACATACGCACTTCACATTCTAGATCATAGTCATTCTTTTAATGACTTATTTTAAATTCTCCATATTCAACCAACACCCAACTCCGATGTATATAAAACATTCTCAAAACATTTTTTTGACTGGTAAGGTTTTCATTGTCAGACTTCCTGACGAATTTCGACCGCTGTCTCTGCACTATAAAGTGAGTTTAATCTGGTAATAGGACTTTTCTCCAGTCGTCTACAGTCAAATTAAACTGTAGACAGCTTAGTGTAAGCATGTTTTTTTCTGTGAACGCATTGCCCTTCTACCATTCTCCAAAAGTCGTTTCCAAAAAGTTAAGTCATTAATCACTACATCTGATACTGCTAGATCTTGTTGGAGCTCTTGGCTTGTTTATCTTGGGTCCAATTTGCTCTTTCGAAGTAAAAATATTTCATTTGCTGGTGTTCTTTTTCTCTTTTCTTCGCATTTTCCTAATCTTTTCACATCCATTGCTCCAGTTTCTCATTTACGCTTCAAAATCTTGCTTACACTATCCCTACTCACTCTACAAGTTCTTGTGATTTTTTTTGTGACATAGAAGTGTGTTCACTTAAAGTGATAATTTTTTCACGCTTCCTAGGCGTAATATCCATGATGGATTTAAACGAAACAAACTCACTAATTATCGAAAACAACACCAAATAGTACAAAACAACATACACTAGGTGGAAAATGTCCTAAACACCATCAAATAAAGGGCAGAAAAAAGTAACGTTATATTTTCAATACTTGTTGAATATGTGTGGACAGTGTTGCCAACTGTGAATATTGAAAAAATTCATAATGATTCAATTAAATTATTTAGGGAAAAAGTTTTCAATAATCAATAAATCCCTTTCCTTTTTTTGGCATTTTTACTCTTTTTGCTTTTTACTTTTTACTCCATGAAGCTTTGATAAAATATTCATACCACCAACTTTCATAGCAGAAATTTTTAGTATGTGTTTTAGCCACTAGAATGACCCGTAATTAAAAAAAATATTCGGAGGTGTTAAAGTGAAAGAAAAACAAGCGGAGAAGACAAATAAAGCCAACATATTACAGTTTAATTAAAACTGAAGATTGAAAAACTCCATAAAGTGATAGTTTGTAAAACAATAATTCTTCTTTAATTGGATAATAAAATTAAGATATGAACAAACTTTTTACTGCATATAAATTTTAATCATATTTTATTTATTTTAGGGCTGCTTTTAGAGCTACAATCTTTCTGATCCCTCTTTTTGGCCTTCACATCATCGTAACTGCAAAAAAGATCGTTTATGATAACTCTTGTACTGCCGAAGACATTTACGACTATGTCAGATATGCTATGGAGGGATTGCAGGGCATCATCGTGTCTATTTTGTTTTGTTACGCTAATAATGAGGTAAGCGAGAGTTGAAGTTAACAATTTATTTTTACTATTCCTAGATCCAGGTAACCTCACTGCAGAACAGTAAAGAATGTGATGAAATTAAAGAAATTACACTGAAGGTCATCAATTATGCCGATGATACCGAAATACTGGCAAAGAGATAGATTAGTAAACGCAACAATTATTCACATATTCCGAACAGCTTTAATCAATGTTAAAACTAAGACAAACAATAAAAATTGTTTCAAAAAATATCAACAAATAAGGGATCCAGAAAGACAGTAATAATGTGATCCATAAATCATATGATTTTGTCGTGAAAATCGCTGACCTAGGAAGGTATAGCAACTATTATATCATTGTTATCGCATTTGACACAAAATTTTTGACCGAGTAATATATCTGGTGGTATTTCAAATGTCGAAATATTTTTAAACCATTTTGAGTTGTTTAGGAAAAGTACATTCTCATCTACAAAGAGAAATGAGAAGCGAGACGGAAATTAAAGCCGACGAACTAAAAAAATTAAATAAAGAAATGTCCAAAGCTGTTAGACAAGACACTGGAAAATACAACCAAGAACAAATTGAACATACCATTGATAACAATAGAAGTATGAAAGTATTGGGAAAAAGGCTAAGAACAGGGACAAGGCAGATAATAAAGATTAAAGATAGAAATGGTCATCTTCCAACCAACAGAGAGGAAACCCTTAAAATCGTTGAAGACTTCTACAAATTGCTGTATACAAGCCAACACAAAGCAAATAGCAGAAAAGATCAAGTAACAGAAATATTAACAAGAAAAAAGAGCATTGTCAACCAAGGATCAGAACTACTACCGGAAATCACAATGGACGAAATAAAACTAGCCCTAAAAAAAGCTAAGAACAAGAAATCTCCAGACGAAGATTGTGTAGTTACTGATGCAATCAAAGTCGAAGACACTTGCCTACTTAAGAAAATAAAAAACCTTTTTCAAATGTGCTTTTTGAACAGTAATATACCCGACAAATGGCACAATGCTGAGGTAATTCTATTGTACAAAAAAGGAGATCCATGAATTAGAAAACTACAAACCTTTAAGTCTTCTTAGTCACCTATAAAAACTCCTTACAAGAATAGTAACGAATCCACTGGAGAAAAAACTTGATTTCTACCAGCCAATAGGGCAAGTGGGATTTCGTACCGGATTTGGAACAAATGATCAGCTACAGAGCATTAAAACGGTAATAGAAAAGGCTATCCAATAAAATCGACCACTCGTTCTGGTTTTTGTAGATTTCCATAAAGCCTTTGACACGGTAGACTTTGACAAAATCCTGGAAGCACTACAAGTATGCCGCATTAACTACCGATATACAAAGTTAATTTACAATACGTACAAGAACGCAACTATGTCGGTGAAACTACATGAAAACTCGGATCATATCCCAATCGGCAGAGGAGTTCGACAGGGTGATACCTTATCGCCTAAGCTGTTTACCGTAGTACTAGAATATGCTTGTAAAAAACATAACTGGGAAGAGAAAGACCTGAATATTGACGGTAGAAGATTAACAAATTTGAAATTCGCAGACGACGTAGTTTTGTTCTCGGACAACCTCAAGAAGATATATACAATGCTACATGAACTTCAGTTAGTGTGTGCCAGTGTGGGTCTCAAAATAAACATCTCTAAAACAAAATTCATGACATGCATGTAGGTCTTGCTTTTTTTCGTCTTGCGACCTATACGTCTTCGTCTTTAATGATACTTTTTAGTGAATTATTAGTAATCTTTATTGATAACAATTACAAAAACTCGTTGGCTTTTGTTACTAAATAGGCCATAGGTCATAGGCACAAACACGTCTTATAATTGGTGGTGTAATTCGACTGACTGAATCGTCATGCTATGGACGTTACGAGCGCATACGTGGGGTGTGGATATCTGCATGTATTAAGTATTTATTAATATTTTAATAAATTGTAAAATATCTACATATATACATATATCTTGGACACGAAATAAAGAGACAACCAAACATGCGAACTACGAAGAAAAATAAACCTAGCATGGGCATCTATCATCTTTAAAAGCGATATAATAATTTCTTTAAAACGTAAAACATTTGACCCATGTGTGTTGCCTGTGATGACTTATGGTGCCGGAACTTTGGAATTGGCAGCTACAACTTCTAAAACGCTGCAAATAGCTCAGAGGAAAATTGAAAGCTCAATGCTGAGTATATGGCTTCGTGAGTTAGAAATGATGACTTAAGACGAAGAACAGGAGTTACCGATGTAATTTGCCCGAATTGTCACACTAAAATGGAACTACGGCGGACACTGTTGGACAACAAAAGATTGTTTGAGTGGAGGCCGAAGTTAGACAAAAAAAGAAGAGGAAGACTCTCTACTCGTTGGACTAACGATCTCAAGAAAATGTCAAGAAATTGATTGAAAAGTGCTCAAGATAGAGCACAATGGACAAGAATGAGGCAGGCCTATGTCCAGCAGTGGACACAAAGGGCTGCGTGATGATGAGCGTTTCTTTCTAATAAATTCCACAGGGTGTTTCAAAATACGATGAAAAAACTCAAAAAAAACGTTGATATTTTTCAAAAGATATATTCAGAAGAATAGATCTATAATATGAGGAAAAAATCATCAAAATCTAATTATCCGTTCAGAAGAAAAAAAGCTTCAAACTAATGCTACATTTAAGGTGGTGCGTTAATTTTGGGCATTAGTTCATATATACTAATATCTGTCTATATGTAATTATATATTAGTTTAATTTGCTAGATTGCCAATAAAGCTTGTGATTAATTTTATGAGGTTTACTTAACAAAACCCAAAAATAACAATTGACTAAGATAAAAATACAGCCCGTGAGATTATTGACACAAGGTAGCAAAATTCAGTCTATTGTTTTAACAATTTATCACGTTGTTGATAAACACGAGATAAAATAAAAGTTTACAATGACATAAATGACGCAAGGTTCAAACGAGATAACGATCGAAATATTTGTTTTAAGACAATATCAAAATTCTGGTAGGCTGAGGAATGATAAACAAGTGCCTACGGTCGGTCGTGTGTATGTGTGTATGTGTGTAGCTGATAAAATAGAATCCCATAAAATAAGTATAGCTAAGGAAAATAAGTATTTTGCGGGACTTTAAAGACAACGTAAATTTTTGTAGATAATACACCTATAGTACATTTGAAAATGATTGACAGCAGAACTTTTATAGCAAAGGTCTAAATACAAGTTTGGTCAATACATCATAATAATATAATGCAAATTAGCAAACTCTAAGGGATTAAGCAATAACTGAACGCCTAAGTGACGTAGAACATAAAATTAATATAAAAGAACTAACATGGTGATATTACGTACTCACATTAGAACACGTAGAATTTCATAATAAACATATTTCGGAAGTCCAAATGACTGGTAAACTAAGGTAAACAAATATTTTACCAGTAATAACCGTACAGTAGCATTGATATCACACGCGAGCAAAGTACTTCTAACCATCATAACGTAAAGTAATAGCCTTGTTAAAACAAGGAAAGGATCCAGAAGACCCCAGTAGCTACAGACCTATTTCGCTATTGTGTCACTTTTTTAAACTATACGAGAGACTCATACTCGCCAGAATAGAAAAAAATGTCGACAAGCACCTCATCCCACAACAAGGAGGATTCAGACCTGGCAAATCTTGCACCGGTCAAGTCCTCGCATTAACAGAACACATTGAAGAGAGCTTTGAAGAAAAACTTATAACAGGGGCTGGTTTCGTAGATCTGACAGCAGCCTATGACACAGTAAGGCACAAAACATTGCTCCGTAAATTATACGACACTCTCAATGACCACCATCTGGGAAAGGTCGTATATTCCTTACTGCAAAATAGACGTTTTTTCGTTATGCTGGAGGGTAAGGTAAGTAGGGGAGAGTTAAAAAAAACGGCCTCCCACAGGAAAGTGTTTTAGCACCAATGCTCTTCAATATATACACAAACGACCAACCTACTCCGACCGAAACCAAGTACTTCCTCTATGCTGACGATCTTGCAATATGTGCTCAAGGAAATAGTTTTGAAGAAGTGGAGGAGAAACTCGAAACTGCCTTAAAAACAATGACAGCGTACTACCTGCAAAATTCTCTGAGACCCAATCCCTCTAAAACCCAAGTCTGCGCTTTCTACCTTCGCACAAAGGAAGCCAAACGAAAACTCCAAATTGTGTGGAATGGTAATGCATTAGAACACACAAATCAACCTATATATCTTGGAGTAACTCTGGACCGGTCCCTCACCTACAGACAACATTGCATAAAAACAAGAGGGAAAGTAACAACTAGGAACAGCATACTCAGAAAGCTAACGGGAAGTAAATGGGGCGCACGTCCTGGCGTTTTAAGAACAACGGCACAGGCACTGTGTTTCTCAACTGCTGAATATGCGTGCCCCGTTTGGAGCAGATCTGCCCACACCAAACAAGTTGATACTGCGCTAAATGAGACATGCAGGATAGTAACGGGGTGCATGAAACCAACGCCACTTTCAAATCTATATAGAGCAGCGGGTTTTGCAGAACCCTCAACACGCAGAGGCGCTGCAGAACACATAGAGAAAATTAAACAGATCGCGGACGATCGGCATGCCCTATACAAAGCTCGAACACCACGAAAGCGACTAAAATCTAGGAAAAGCTTCCTTGAACAGTGCAGGATGAACCGCCTGAGTATTTTCCACTTCCCCAGGTTCAATGGACCGGCCAGACCCTAGACTTTAAAACGTGGAAAACCTTGAATAGGATAAGAACGGGGGTTGCTACAGTAAAATCAAACATGGCAAAATGGGGAAAAATAGACCAAGATAATGTGAACTGTGACTGTGGAGAAACACAGAATATGGAACATCTTCTTACATGCAGAAACTGTCCTCATCGATGTACCCTTGAAGATTTGTGGCTCGCCAACAAAGATGGAACCGACGTAGCCCGATACTGGGCCGAAATTTTATGAATGACATGTCCGGACACGATAAAGTAAAGTAAGTCTAACCATCATCAATGAAAGACTAAAACCAATTCTTTTACCACAAATTCCCCAAAAACAATGCGGATTCGTCCCAGGTAGAGAAACATGAGAACATATTCTTAGTCGTCAAATTATCGAAAAATCTCGAGAGTTTAACATCGAAATATATTTAGCCTTGTTGACTATTCCAAGGCTCACGATGTCATAAAATGGGATAAAATGTGTAGAGAAATGGGTACGCCAGAACATCTAATATATTTATTACAAAAACTATATGTAAATAATTCTGCTAATGTAAGAGTTAATATTGTGGTGTCGAAAAATTTAAAATTAAAATCTGGAGTTCGACAGGGATGCATAATATCCAATATTCTATTCAATATATATAGTGAACATATTATGCGTCAAGTTATTGAGGAACGGCAAGGCGAGGCAACGATAGGGAGAAGAAAAATCAAAAATTTACCTTATGCTGACGACACTATTATATAGGTGTTATCACCAGAACTTGAACAAATTATGAATAATTATATGAGGTTGAATGCTCGAATAAATGAACTTAAGGCAAATATCGAGCACAAATTTAACAATCAAATCTTGCCCAAGTACTTTCGCTATCGTATATATTCGCTATTTCGTAAATTATGAATAGGCTAGGCATGGTGAATACGGAATATGGTTTGAAAATAAATATGCAGAAAAAAAAGTGATAATCATCGATAGAATCATAAATAACCAGGCAGAGATAAGAATCATGTCCGGTTACGATGTGATCAGGCAATTTAATTACTTATGCTCCCTTATTACTAACAGTGGAGGATGAGACGAGATCCATCGATGCATCACAATGGCTAGATCGGCAACAGCCAAACTCACAAAAATTTGGAAGAACACTGACATCACAAGAAACCCAAAATTACACCTTGTTCGATCATTGATATTTCTTATCACTACCTATGTGTCAGAAACTTGGACAATAAAAAAAGCCGATTCAAAGCGTATAATGGCATTTAAAATGTGGGTCTACCATAGAATGTTACGCATAACCCTTTACTAAAATAACTCAATTCTAGCAAAACTTAACATAAAAACTAGATCTATCACAACTATCAACCAAAATATACTGAGATATTTTGGACATATAACTAGAAGAAGAGAAGGCATGGAGCGAATGATAGTTGAAGGTAACATAGCGTGTAAAAGATCCAGAAGAAAGATTTCCAGTAGGATTCTTCTTCTTCATGTACCATGTCCTTTCAGAACGTTGGTTACCATCATAGGTATTTTAATTTTATTCACTGCCACCCTAAATAGCATGCTTGTATCTACACCACACCAATCTCGCAAGTTTCTTCAACCATGAGGTTCTTCTTCGTCCTGGACTGCGTTTGCCTGCTATTTTTTATTGCATGATATTTTTGTAGCAATCTATATTTGGGACCTCTCATTACATGTCCGAAATATTCCAGCTTTCTCTGCTTGATGCTTTTTATGATCTCAGTAGTCTTGCGGAGACGTTCTAGTAATGTGGAGTTACGAATCTTCTCCACCCAGAAAACTTTTAAAATTCTTCTATAGCACCACATTTCGAAAGCCTCAAGGCGATTTAGATCGATTTTATTCACAGTCCAGGACTCGACAGCATAAAGTAAGACCGAGAACACGTAGCAGCGAAGTAGGCGGATCCTTAATGCCAATTTTAGGTCTCTGTTACATAACACCTTGGACATCCTTCTAAAAGCAGCTCTAGCCTGCTCTATTCTGGATTTAATTTCGCCGTGATTTTCTGCATTACAATTTAATTGCTGTCCAAGGTAGACGATTTTATCAACTTGCTCAAGTTTGGTATTATTTACATATATAGACGGTTTTATATTCGGTAAGATGGTTGGACCAAATAAAGGAAATGACTGGTTACTCATTTTCCGAAGCAGAACAACAAGCACAGGAGAGAGATAATTGGATAGAAATAGTCAAACAAATTACATGACGCCACTACATCCTTACGAAGGAGAAAAGATTGAATTGGAGGAGGATATTTTGAGTACTAGCGTTATATAAACTTATAATTAATAATATACATGTATAATTACATACCTAAATACATAAGTTGTCCCCTTTCGATAAGGAGGCATCATCATCATCATCAGTTTCTTCATTTCCCACAGAAATAATAATTGATTCTATTGTTTTTTTTTTTTTCTATTAACATATCAAGTTTTTCAGAACATTTTTTCCTCTGCTATGACACGTCTTATAGCTTTTTGTCAATCGTCAGATGAAATTTTTGATATGGAGTCAGATAATGGTTGACGAACATCTTGAAGTTTAAATTATTTCTTGCGACATATCTATTCATTTGGGCCCAGATTAGTTCTATGAGGTTAAGTTCACAGTGATAAGGTGGTAATAGTAACACTTTAACTTTATGTTCTTCTACTATTTCATCTCTACTATACTTCTTAATTTTTTGTAAATATTGTTTGCTTAGCTGCAATAACTTTTTTTTAAGTAAACCTTCTGCTGACTATTTCTTTCTTTATTGGCCAATTTAAGAGTTTTGCTTTCTTCATTTAGTGTTAGGTAACGATCCCTTTTTAGGGATTCAGTGGAATTTTTGTCTTTCACGACTAGACTATATCTATTAAACTCATTATTTTATTTGATTTTAGGTACGAGGTGAAGTAAAAAATGGTTACAGAAAAGCGTGCATCTATCTAAATCAAAGGTACGGCTGGAATTTGGGAGGTGATCTGCTCTATGACAAAAGGCGAGCCACAACTGCAACTTTTGTTCAAGAAGGAAATAATTATTAAACATTCTATAGCTTTATTTGCTAAAAAAAATAAGAGCCTGGCTTTAATGTAAAACTCACAGATAACTTCATAAGATCTAGAAAAATTTTTAAGAAAAATGTGTAAGGGCATAGATAATTTCGGCATCTACTTGCGACAATAAGTAGAAAAGTTAAAACAAATCTCAGTAGCTGTAGATATTATTACGAGATTACTTCATATATTAACCGATTGTTTATTTTAGTTATAAGATATTTTTTATAAACTAGCAAAGTTTCTTTTTATAACTATTTCCCCTACGTACCTTATCTATTGAGTTTGACGATCAGTATGGCGGCAAACTCTTCTCTATTGTGGGTTTGGTGTATGATAGCCTTTACATCGGTTCTGGTCCAGTCTCTTACCTTCGTATTTTTTCCTCACTAATTAGATGTAGTTGTTCGTATTTTTTACGGCCCTTTATATGGCCGCAATATGAGATTTTCCTAAGCGGGTTTAGAGGTTTTTTCGCTTCCAAATATATCTTAGCGATCATCTATAATTCCAGATTTGCATTTCTTCTTTCGTACTCTTTCTTCCGTGAACCAGTTTCGTATACACAATTAAAGAAAAATACAATACAAAGTCACATCATTGATTGCAACAGGACTTAAGTTTTTGAGGTGTTTAGCCTACGTTACAACTTCAGAGGGTAGCTTTTGTGCTTTTGATTTTTTCATGGCCACTGTTAACTCTAAGGAGAAAGTTGCGAGGTCATATATCAACTTTTTATAAATGGAATAGAAGGATTCCAAAGAATTATAAAAAAAGCAGAAAAACTTATTTAAGCCATAATTGATGTAATGGAGACTGTTACTAACATAAGTTCGAAAAATTTTCTCTACTTCGTTTGTCTAAACTATTTTGTCTGTCACTAAACCATTGTCGTTAATAATCTTGCCTTTACTTGTAAATTCTCTTTTACACAGTGTCTGTACAGCTTCTATATCTACAAATTTGTTCGGTAATGACTTCTATGTTTGAAGTATCTTTTTCCGTTCCATTCATTTGTTTTATTATTTTATAAGAAAATGTTTGTCTTCCATGTAAATCATTGTCAATTGTGCAAATAAACTTTTCTCATGATTGTTAATTTGCTTACTTTAAAATCTTAGTTAGTTCCAAGCTTCCCTCTCTGCCTGTGTCTTATTTTGCAAAAACTACTGATATGCTTTTTTTTCAATGATTGCATTTTTCGTTTGTTGATTCCATTGTTATAATCCTTTCCTTATCCTCATTTTAATTTTTTTGTCTAGCGTCCCATAAGCTACCTTTTTGTTTGTCTCTCTCTCTCTTTCTTGCGTATTGAAACGCTACATCAAAAATAAACTCTGCTATACTTACTTGATGTACGACAGAGGTGTAAAAATATGGTGTCGTTACTTTGCTCTATAAATTACCCAGTCTATGTTAATATATTACGTCTATAGTCCAGCCATCAACAATATTATAAGTTTATAATTACTGAGGTGTCTGCAACCATCATTACAACAGTGTGCAGTTGTGAATGTCTTATTTAGAAGATAATATTGATTATTTAATATTGACAATAATGACGATTCACCACGCGATATTATCTACTAGATTTGTTTCCAGTTTTCTACTTATCCTATTGCCCTAAATATATAAAATTAATTTATTTCTTAACTTATAAATATTGTAGCTTTTAAAACATTCCTTATTTTGTGTAAGTTTAAAATATGAAATAGATAGCAAAAACGAAGCCTCCAATCAAATATAATAGTTAAAATAAAAGTAAGTTGTTCTTCTTTTAAGTTTATTTTAAATTTTAGACTTTTAGGTATACTATTCAGGTGAAAACAGTAATTCTCGTCGAAATGGAGTAGCTTTCATAGTCTTCAAACAGGCGGAGAGCTCTATTAAATCAGTATGCTACGCATCTGACAAAGTTCCTGTTCCAAAGTATCCTGATTAAATTGAGGTCCAAAACATCTGATTTAAATCTCGTTCCATCACTAGCAGAAAGCGATTGGCGACGAGAGTTTGGTCTTGTGAAATATATTATCGAAAGAACACTTCAAAATAAAATAAGAAAAGAAATAAAAATTTAATTTTATAGCGTCGTGGAAGCACGAAAACAAGAAAACCAAATAATACAGTCAGCCGAAATGATATTTTTAAGGAAATCAAAAGGATGTACATTTAAAGACTTAATCAGAACTAAAGATATGGGGTCCGAATTAAATATATTCTCTATAAAGAACAAAATAAATACAACAAAATACGTTAAAATGGAGAGAACAAATCCAAAGAATGAATCAAGATAGATTGGTAAGACAAATTGTCAAATATATAACACGGGGAAGAAGGTAGGTGGGACGGCCTCGAAGAAAATTGCAAGACTGAGGACTAAATACACAAGGTAACCTGGACCTCTCCTGATGGAAGAACAACGAGTCAGATTGATCACATCTTAATAGATTCAAGACACAGACGTAATAAACTGCAGAAGTTATAGAAGCACAAACATAGATTCACATCATTGTCTAGTGATCTCTAGTGAAGAGAAAGAAGAATATTTTTGTTTAAAAATTTCTTTACTTAATACTATAAGAACCAGTAAATATACTAATAATATTTGGCTGAATTGATCAAGCAATCCAAAACCTGTAAGAAAAATAGGCAAAAAATGTGTTTTGTATCAAAATATACATTTTTATTAAAACTATTAACACATAATCTTTGGTTTCTATACTATAATATACTAACAATAAACTACAAATTTTTCTATGCATATTTAACAAATTCTAAAAATTTAACCATCCCCTTTTATCGAATTCTTTAAGAAGCCAAAACAACCTATCCTTATCTTCACTATTTAAATGCCTAACATTTAATTGCGGAATTTCTTTTGGGTCACTGTTAAGGTGACCACCCTTTGGTCCCCTTATAATGAACAGCAACATAAAGATCATTTTTCCAAGCTCTGTTTTCATACACGCACTGATTTCTTTCAATAACTTTTCGTATGTAAACGGGGCAATATCACAACCAAATATCAAAAGTGTTTGAGCCAGTATCTCATGGTAATGTTCGAGCAATTCCTCAAAATGTTTTTTCAGTACTTGCGTTTGGACACTAGTAAACAGAAAGAACATTAGGTCTGTAGCAGGAGTATCGTAAGTATACATCTGAAAGTCCACTATTTTAATATTTTTAACAGCTCCCTCCTCAAATTGAAGCATAATGTTATTGACCCAGAAGTCTCTGTGAACCACAGTTGCAAACGGTTCCCTAAAAGTCGTTCTTAATGTTCCCATATACTTTATACTTTTCCTAAACTGTGGCATTAATTTTCTTCCGATTTCTGCTTCTTCTAAAACTGACGCTAGTTCGTTTGCTTCGTAATCTAACTCTAACGACGCTGGATGTTTTAGGAAGCAGCTGCAGTAAGGCTTAATTTTTTTCTCGAAAGTTTCAGGTTCCTTTAGTTTAATCGCTAATGTAGTGGCATGGAAGCGAGCTAAGTCTTCTAGAATTAATTTTGAAGTTGACAGATCGAATCCGACGGTTCTATCCAAATTTACAAAACCTGCAAAATATAAATAATTTATTATTTTATACATATTAAAGTCTATAACGAACATAATGGATCATTAAGCAAAAAAAAATTTAAGATTTGGATTTTACTGATTAGTGTCGTTCTAAAAACTATTTAATTAGAAATAATATGAAAACATTTAAACAGAGATAAAGTACTTTTTCTTCCAACGTCAAATAATGACGACGTTACTTATCTAACTTGATCCTGTCAAAGTTTGATGTCTCCGCCGGCAGCAGTTTTTTTTTCCCATTTTTTTACGGCGCGCGGAGGGAAAAATGTTGTCATGGCAACAATATGGAACACGTCACAAAGCAACAATACAAATGTCATTAACAATAATTAAACATCATTTTTATTTATAGTAATATTAAAAGTACAATTAGTTAATGAGGCATTTTCAAAATTGAAACGGTGCAAAAATGTTCCCGACTCTTGATACGCATTGGTAATTGTTGATGATGCTGATGGTCGAGAACAACGTTCAGCAATCATTCCCGATGTTGGCGAATCATGAGGGTTTAAAATTTTTTGAGCATTATCATTCTTATTTCTTATTAAATCCTCTATATATCCTTCGGCAAACGTGCTTGATTTCCAGCCCCCATGTCGTTTGAGGCATTCTAGATTTCCGCCTCCATCAATTAAAAGTGTTGCTGAAGTTCGTCGTAAAGAGTGGGCTACTGCGCTGATCGAATGTACGATCCCATGACGCTTCGGTAACACTTTCCATTTTGGTACTTGATAAATCGGTTTTCTGTGAAATTTTCAGGCCGCAGTGATGCATACTTTTTATACAGTTTAATGTAGTTTTGACCAATTATCGTAAAAGATCTAATTTGTCGTGTTTTACTGTCTGGGATTTTGATAATGATTACATTTTCTTTATCCTCAATGTCCACAGTCTTCATTTTTACCATTTCGTCGCATCGACAGGCGCCGGTAACCCCAATTAACAAAACAATCTGAAATATTTTTATAATTTAGTAGAGTATACTACATGCTTTGCAATATAATTTTTTTACCTTTAATCCTAAATACAACTTATCTAGCGCTTCAAACAAAAATTTATCAAACTCGTCTTTAGTGAAAACTTTAGACTTCTTTGCAGTATATCCTTCGCTTGTTTTTTTTCAGAAAGGCACGTAACTTTAAAAATTTGCTTATATCCACATTTTTTCTAATAACTAACTCGGATTTTATCATAGAGTACTGTGACCACATTGTAGAAGATTTACATTTATTTTCATTTTCCATTATATTAAAATATGCCAGTAAAAGATCTTCGTAACTTGCCGTACTCCTCTTGTATCGCACCACTCTTGGAAGTGCTTGTACGCTAACCGATACTTTATTCCGGACTTGGAGGGCCCCAAACGTGCTACTGCATCATTTGCCACGGACTCAATTTCGTTTAGGTTTTCCATTTTCGCACTAAATTTGCGCTTGCGGTTGCAACAACAATAAGCTGTCTTTAATAATTGCAAACAACTGTCAAACAACTGTAACCAGGGAGACGCAAACTCCACCGACGACTTAAGTATTTAATTTTCTAACATCTAGACGACTTTGATAGTTGTCACAGTTAATTTCGAGTAAAAATAGCGTATGAATTATATTATTTATGGTTGAAAATTGCTACATTTGAAGAAAAAATAGTATACTTTATTCGGCAAAGAAGCGACTTTTCTTGACTTGCCCTCTATTACGCGCCGAACGAAGTGAGGCGCGTAATATCGGGCGCGTCAAGAAAAGTCATGCTTCTCCGCCTCATAAAGTAATGTATTATTATTGTATTCCCTTAATTAAGAATCATTTTTAGACGCAACCTGTAACTAAGCCAGGAAAGAAAAAACTTAAACAGGTTTTTGAAGGTTCTAACGCGGGATAATGAGTGATGAGCTGATGACAAATCTTTAAAGACGTACAGCTGATTTTGCTGATTTGTCTTTTTTTTAACAATCATAAAAAAGTGAAAAAATATGTTTTGCCCATAAAACGTTGCTTTTACATGTTAGAGAAAAATGGTTATTAAAGTTGAAGACGTTAAGATGTTCTTTAATGTGCCAGTTTCTAAATTAAAATACATAAAAAATTGACTCTTTGATAACTGCAAAAATCCCTTATTATTGCAGTAATTTATTAATCTTAAATAACTTTGTGTTTTTATACTAACATGTAATAAAACTACTTGAAAATATGGCAATTAATGAGTTATTTAAGTGTGCTAAATCTCAGCTAGATCGACCAGATAGTTTGTTATTCAATTTGTTTATTCAGGAAAACGATTATTTAAATAACTGTTCTTGTCCAAATAGTGATCCCAGAGTTATTTAAGGTGATTGAGATCATATAAATGATCTCAATTGATTCTTTGAGTCTTAAATTTTTAGATGTTATAATAAAAAGATTTCAACATTTTGTCCTCATGTAGCGAAGTATTAACAGAGATAAAAGAGAATATAAAAACTAAGAAAGCTCCAGGATATGATCACATAACAGGAAAACTATTAAAAAATCTACCAAAAAAATCCATAGTTAAGCGACACAGCAAATAAATGCTGCTTGTAGATTGAAATATGTTCCCAAACTCTGGAAAGTAGCCGAAGTCATTATAATCGCCAGACCAGGTAGTCCTCCCAATGAAGTAACATTCTATCGACCAATATCACTACTTCCGGTGATGTCAAAACTATTTGAAAAACGTATATTAAAAAGTTTAAAACCAATATTAGACAGAAAAAATCTTATACTAAATCATAAATTTGATTTTGAGAAATAAACATTCCACTATAGATCAAATTCACAGAATAACGATTATAATAGAAAAAACGTTAAAAGAAAAGAAAGTCTACTCTACAATCTTCTTGGACGTAGCACAGGTGTTTAATAAAGTCTGGCATAAGCTTAACTATAAACTAAGAACGTTAATGCCTAAACAGTAGGTATTCAGACATCTTAGAATCATACATTGCAAATAGATATTTCAGAATAAAACAAGAAGTAGTGTACACCGATTTAAGTGAGATCAAAGCTGGCGTGCCACAAGGGAGTATATTAGGTCCAATCCTGTACCTATTATATACGTGTGACATTCCAGGGCTAGAACAAAACACGATTGATATTTTCGCGGATGATACAGCCATACTAGCTATAGGAGACACTAGTGAAGGAACGACTGATAAGTTGCAATTATCAGTAAATACAATACATACCTGGACCAGAAAATGGCGAATAAAATTAAATGAGACTAAATCTGCACACATTAACTTTACAAATAAAAAAAAGAAAATTTTCCAGTTAGAATAAATGAGACCCAAGTTCCCTATGCAACATCAGCAAAATACTTAGGCATCACCCTAAACGCGAGGCTGCGCTGGAAAGTCCACGTCAAAAGAGAAGAGGGGAGCTTGATATTAGATAATAGAAATTGTATTGGTTGATTGGAAAAAATTCAACATTATCCATATAAGGATAATGGCAATATAGATATATGGGTGCCAACTAGTATATGCGTACCAAAGCTAGTAATCTACATATTATCCAGAGATTTTAAAACAAAGTATTAAGGAACATTGTTGATGCTCCTTGGTATATCCGTAACAGTAACCTCCACCAGGATCTGGGTATGGAAATTGTGACCGAAGTAATCAAGAGAACAACAGAAAGTTACGAGCAGAGGCTGCATAGTCATGTGAATGTCGAGAAAATCCACCTTCTTGATAACACTGAACTAAAGAGAAGACTCATAAGGACAAAACCATTTGAGTTAGTATAAATGTGTAACAGTTTAGTGTAAAAAGCAGAGTATAGTACTGTGATGATATTGCATGTTGGTTATAATGCATTAGTTGATAAATAAAATAAGAGTAAGCCATAGGGTAAGTCCTTAGATATAAGTGCTTGCTGTTTATTAAGTTAGGTCAGACAATAACTGATAATTGGTCATTTGTGACCAGATAGATACACCCTATGTGTTATACAAAAAAACATTGTATCAAAATTGTTATTAAAAAACAGTTTGAAAAAGGGATGGCTTTTTAGCTTATAAAGATTTATAATACCTTTGATATTTTTTATGCCACGTACTTGTAAGTAGGCTCACTGAAAATATGGTGAAAAGAACCTTCAATGACCAATAGGAACCAAGATGGCAATTTTTCTCTTTAAATCGTATTTCCATTATTTATTAACATCAATAGCTGAAAATTGAACCGATTATAAACGAAGATCTAAATGTTATAGATACAGTTCTTATTATTTCTAGAGATATCCCACTTTATTGAAATAAATGTTCTGCGTGCCACGAAAGGCGAGATATTGCAAATTTTTCCAGCACGCTTTAATTTAAAATTCCATTCTAAAACCAACAAAGCCCAGAAAGTTCTCAGCTCCAGTATAACGTAGCGATATTTTACGAGAATGATCACTTTAACGCTAAAAGTGTATCCAATCGCTAAAAGAATGGAGAGCTTTAGGACCAGAAGGAGTACAGTCTGAATTTCTTAAACTTCTTGATGATGAATAGTTAAAAATACTTTGTAAAATCTTCAGCAATATTCATCACATTGGCAATATTCCGAAAAATTGACTAGTTTCAGAATTTATTACCTTAGAATATAGGCTAAGTCTAGATTTTGTAAAGATAGATGGCAAAACAGGTAACGAATGACTAAATCCATGCAATCAAACCATCATAGTGAAACAATAACTCATTATACCATGTTATCAATTTTAATATAAAATATAAAATAGAGAAACCTACCTTTAACTTTTAAGTTTTCCAAAACAATTAGACCATCTTTATCAACTACATTATTTACACCATTTAAATTATTCCTTGCTCCGTAAAATTTCGGAAAACTATCTGAAACCGGTACATTATATTTCTTCTGAAACTCATACAGCGTCGGTACTATAGTATTATAAAACTCTTTTTCAATATTGAAAGTAACTTGGATGTTGAAAACTTCTTGGTAATACTCGGAGTCCGGTATTTGCTTGGCGACTACATTTAAATCTCCTATATCTCCACTTTCGTTTTTTACCTTCATGTCTACTTTATAAATTTGGCTTCCATAGTTGTCACCGGGTGCAGTCAGATTGCTGATTTTTGTTTCTATAATTTTACTTCCTTTGGGATATGTTTGTATATCATTTCGTCCAGTTTTTCTATTGTTTGAGTCCCCATTTTTATTGTTTATGGACGGATCTATAAACAAAATTGAATTCACATTAGAAAATATTTAAAAACAGAAACCAAAAATAATAAAAAACAAAGACATGAAATTTTTAATCTACATGAGAAGCATTGGTTTAGTAATATATTAATATTCTTGAAATTTTCTATAATTAGGAGAAGGACTAGAAGCTTTTTTATAAAACATGCTGGAAAAACATATTTAAAATACATTATCTAGTTCGTGCTAAATTCTAGTGCCGTCCTTGGAACTAAAACCTGAGAGAAAAAGTCAAAATATACTTCACAGTGGAGAACAGTGGTATAGCTAATTTTTAAGTCACCATCAGTTAACTCCTTGTGAAAAATTGACACTTATTAATTGAGGATACTGGAAGAGTCCAGCAGTATATTAAGACTCGAGGTACACCAGTTTTCTCTAAACCCCGTAGACTCCTACCAGACTGTCTTCAAGCTGCATGAGCAGAATTCAACGAGCTGATGGAGGCAGGTATTATGCGACCATCAAAGTCATCTTAGGCAAGCCCGCTTCACATGGTTCAGAAGGATAATGGACGATGGCGTGCCTGTGGAGATTTCTCGCCGTCTAGGATTTTACTAACCAGCTACATGGCAAGAAAATTTTCTCATATATTGATTTGATAAGTACTTTTTTACCAAATCCCAGTCCAGAAGATGTACAAAACACAGCTGTATAACCCCCTTTGGCCTGTACGAGTTCCTCAGAATGCCGTTTGGTTTGCGAAATGCTACCCCTATACAGTGACGATATTTTGGTTACCTCGAAAACTGAGACTGAGCATGAGTAACACCTGGCATCAGCACTTCGGGTTCTGGAAGCAAACGGACTTCAAATCAACAAGGATAATTCAAAATGAAAGTTATAAAAGATCATCAAAATAAAATAAAATTATGCTGCTAAGTTAAAAAAACGTTGCGAAAGAGCTAATGCTACTAACGGAGCTACTGTCTCAGCAAAATAAGAAGCAGCAAGAATTGATATTGACACTAACGGCGGCAGCAGTTTTCACCAAGTCAAAGAACTCCTCGTCACTTCGACTGAATTGGTTTTTCCAGCACCGAATGCCCAATTGAACATGTTAGTTGATGCCTCAGATCTGCCATCAGCGGTGTTTTGCAACAGCTCGTAGATGAACACCTACAGTATATCGCCTTCTTTTCTCGAAAGCTTTATAGGATGGAATGAAACTGCACTTATGACCGTGAGCTACTTGCCATATTCAGTGGCATACATCACTTTAGCCATATTCTCGAGGGATGCCGTCTACGAAATATACTTATCACAAGCCTTTAACGTTTGACTTTCAATAGCGGCATGAGCGACAGTCTCCACGACAAATACGTCAACTAGAATTTATTTGCCAATTCTCGACCGATATTCGACATATTCAGGGTGCCGAAAATATCGTTGCCGATTGTCTCCCACGACCTGAAGTAGACGCTGTCACAGCACCCATTACCATTGACTATGATCGTCTATCCGAAGCTCACGATCCTGTCAGCTCCTTACAACTTCAACGCATAGTTCTACCAGACAGCTAGCGACCCATTTTTTCTTCAGTCCAAGATAGTCGTGTACGAGTTTATGTACCAACTGTATTTCAGAGAGATGTTTTCCTGAATTTACACGCAGTCCTACCCAGGGCACGCTGCTACATTACGCATGATTGCCGAAAGATTTGTGTGGCACAAAATAAATCGTCAAGTCAAGCAATGGTCACGAGAGTACATTAAATGTCAGCGTGCCAAAATTGGACATCACACTGTTACACCTCTAAAAGTCCTAGGAATGCCTGACGATCGATTCGCACACATAAATATCAACATCGTGGGCCCACTTCCAACAAGTCAGAGCTTTCGATACCTACTTACAATCATTGATCTTTTGGCTTTTGAGCTTTTGAGATGGCCAGAGGCCATACCTATCCCAGAGATTACAACCGAAGTAGTCGCACAGAATCTTCTTGGGGGATGGATACCCCGGTTTGGTGTGTCAGCGACCATAACTACAGACAGAGGTAGACAATTTGAGAGCCAGTTGTTCCGCCAGCTCAATGCAATGCTAGGAGTACATCATATTAAAACACAGTCAAATGGGTGTATTGAACGTTCTCACCGAGCACTCAAAGCTGCTTCCATCGCCGCTGATACAGTATCATGGGTTGAATTCCATTGGTCATGCAAACACGAAACACTTTCAAGCAGGACATTTCGTGTACAGCCTCCGAGTTAGTTTATGGTACTCTAGTACCTGCTTGTCCCTAGTGCTGCTGCACCCGACGTACATAGTTACATGTACAACGACTACGTGAGACCATGGGAGCATTGCGACCTGTACCAACATGCAACCACTCAGCCCACACTGCCTTTGTCTACCCGGATCTGCAAACCACGATTCATGTGTTTATTCGTACCGATAGTATTCGTACCGAAGTGAAGTCTCCACTTACACTCCACTGTACCTTCCCGTTTAGAGCTTTGGAACATAGTAACAAGTTTTGGACAAGTAGATGTCCAAAATATTCTTCAACGAATTTACTTGGATCGACTCAAATCAGCATACATTTCAGAGGCCCAACACGTGCAGGAAGAACATGCATATGCCAACCGTCAGCTTAGCAACACAGGTCAACAGAGCCGTTCGAAACCGCCAGGTTCCTCACTGGAGGGGAGCCCTGTGGCGAGTTGACACTTAAACGCCTGTCACACATGGTTTGTCTCTTGTCTTGTCTGTGTTGCTGAAGCGAGTGAACGTTGGCGCCGAAAGACAGACTCAGACTGGCAAGAAAACAAAAGAGAACGCAGTCAGCTGATCCACGGCAGAATGGGATTTAACTCCCAAAAAGAACTTTTATTGTTTTCTTAATTGTTTTAGTATTCAGTTTCTTGTTAATAAACCATTAAATTGTTTAAAGTGTGCCTCCTTGATTAATCAACAATACATAAACTCCTTTATGTATTGTTGACTCATACGCATAAAAAGTTGGGGAACCTGTTGTAAGATAAGCGATTTCGTTTTGTATTAACTCACACTTTTTATTGATAAGGCTTTGTGAATTCAAAATTATATTCCTAGATTGCGCTGTTCCACTAAAAATCAGTTTAGTAACTCATTTCAAAATAGAGGAATCCAGCTTTTGTAATATAAAAAATTAGCATTGTTTAAATAAGAACTTCTATTTTAATCAATGATATTAGTCTATATTCAGCAGCAATTTTACCAATATAGTATTTTGGTAAATTTATTTTTAAAACCATGAGAGGCATTATTTATCTTATTTTTATTTATATTTAATAAAATCTAGTTGTGCCATCTCTGAAGCAATATCTCAATTTTTAGAATATCTTAACCGCTAGTAGCTAACTTTAACTAAAAATAAAGCTTTAAATATTCATCAATAGATGGCGAAATTTACAATTTTTCTGAAATATACAAAATCTACCGAGAATTTTTTTAAAAAAGTGGCTTATACCAGGAAATATTTTTTAAAGCAGTTTATAATATTTGTTTAGACATATGTACAAATTTAAAATTAGTTCCAAATAATAGAAAACATTTAAGTAAAGTTTAAATTCTTAGAAACAATAGTAAAGGTTTTATAAAATGAAGCTTCTACAAATTGAGATGTAAACAAGAAACGGATGCCAATAATTTGCAAAATCATCTTAATAAATGTCGTGTTAGCTTCTAACGACTCAGATTATCTTAAAAACCGTCGCATGCTAAAAGTACTACGTTTTAGTTAAAAATGTAGTGGTTTGCGTGTCTACTAAAAAGTATTAATCAATTACGATGGTGTGTAGTATCACTATACAAAATGTTATTTATTGATTATGTTAAACCAAATGAAAATTTCCATTAAAACATAAATAAAACCCAAGTGTATAAACATCTTCTTCTTACACTGCCTGTAAGTAGTGTAGACAACAACAGACAGTTGTTATTTATGCTGTGGCCTATCCTTTACGGATGATGTACTATTGGATTCTTATGTTGTGTAACCAGTATATTCTTCTTTTTCTGGACCTCTTTTTCCATCTATCTTACCTTGAAGTATGGTCCGAAGTAGGTCATATTATTGTTCCTTGCGCATTATATGGCCAAGGTATTCCAGTTTGTGACGTGATTCTGCGCAGAACTTCTTCATTGGTAACTTTGTCAACCCACGAAATCCTCAATATGCGTCTATAGATAATATTTACTTTGTCAATCTCACTCTCAATCAATGTTATAGCTGCTTGCTTAATTTGCTATTAGTTATTATCATTTTATTTTGATTTATATAAACATGAATGTAAATTGTACTTGTGTCAATGACCATTAGCTGCCGAGACACATATTTTCGAAAAAAAAATTAATCATTGTTTGTTTTATGTTGTTTCAGTTAGTAGTTTTCAATATAAATAAGACTAACGTACTGGGGCCTGTTGATAGACGTTGTCTACTTAAAAACAAAATCTGAAAAAGTCATAGTGCTAATACATAAAAGAGACAAATACAATAACAAATAATGTTATCCTGATGTTAAAGTAGTCGTTAAATAACGTTGACTGGGTTTCAGTTCTTTCTCTCAAAAAGCAACAGAATTATCTCACTTTATTGTCGAAATGTATGTAAAATTAAAACGTTGCCTGCCCTAGAGGATTTTGTAATACTTTCCGTTCACGCCATAGTCACCGAGACGGCACCACAGTTACATTAAAATTCTCGGTCAAATAGACCTCGCTGGCGTGTAGAGCAATTTTTTTCCCGGTCACATAAACCGAGACGGCAGGCAACGTGTTAACTGAAATTAATTTTCCAATAAAGAAATCACGAACTCATAGTAAAGCTCCAATTTCTTTTTTTGATGATGAACTACTAGTAATGCGAGAAAATCTTTCCACAGTCAAGATAATTGCTGATGTTACAAAGGAATATAGTGAGTATAAAAAGTATAAGTACAAGTACTATAATTCAAAAATATCAATGAAGAAAAAACTGGCTTATA